GTGTTGCAGCTATAGTCATTGATGGCGTGAATGTGATTGGATACACTGCCTGGTCCCTTATTGACGGTTTTGAATGGTATCGGGAGTATGGGATCAGACGGGGGCTTTATTATGTCGACTTCAACGCTCTAGACATGAAGAGAGAGCCAAAAACATCTGCTACTTTTTATAGGTTTTTAACTCTACTACAACTGTCAAATACTATTAAAGACATTTTATTTATTTATTCATTTATTTTAGGACGGTGATCCACAGAAATGGTTTCCCGGAGCTTCCAGATAACAGACCAGTTCAAGGGGTCTTCCCCTGTGACTTTGCCTGGGGAGTCTCTGCCAACTCCATCCAGGTCTGTGCACATGTGTATCTGTTTACCTTTGCATGTCTCTAAAACAGCTATAAAAGCTTCAATTAATATGCAGTTTTGTTTTGTTTTGGCTGTGAAAATTGAAGTAATGATTCAGACTTAGTACTGCATCTGGTGATACTCCAAAAGCCAAATCTTTGCTTAGGTAGTACATAGTGTAAAAAATATTATGTTTGAGCTACCTTTACTAACGGTACAGATTTCAGGCGAAAGTCCACTTTTGCTTCAGTCCTGACCATGAATGCTCTTTAATCATAAACCTGCTAACCTCATAGTCATAGTATCTTCCAGCCATGACCAGCTGTTCCTATTCATTTATCCCATTTGCACTATTCTGCAGACTTAGTCGTGAACACACAGTCGTGAATCTGAATTAGACCTGGTCTGCCCCTCTCTGTAAATGCAGGTGGAGACAGTGCCCAGTCAGTTTGCAGACCCCAGCGTTTATCTGTGGAACATCTCGAACAACGGAGAGCTCATCAAAATGGAGGGTCTCAGTGCTCCGCCTCTCAGAAGAACTGTTCACTGTGCTGACTATGCTACCATCAGACAACAGGTAAAACGATTCTGGTTACATACACCTGTAAATAAATATGTTATCTAAACCTGCTCTGAAAGACATGTAATTCATTGCCAAAATTATTCAGCCCAATAGGTAAGTCAAGTTAATATATAGCCCAGTTTCTCAGCAAGTCCCAAAATTGAAACACATAAACAACATAAAAAGATACAAAAATGTACAACATATCATATTCAGGAGATTGATACGATAACAAGTGATTTTATATTTTAAGCATTGGAAATATTATTAGAAATGACAATGACTGACTACCAAAATTATTATTGGCTGCCTTAATGCAGGCGGGGCATACAGCATAAAACTCCACTATATTAGGCATGCATGTGATGACGATAAAATAGAAGCACAATGTTGCAAAATACTACACACATCCTTTCATAATATTATGATAATGCAACCACAAAATGTAACCTCTTTTATCTGCATTTTGAGGTGGAAGAGATTCGTCAGATTGGTGTGACCCATTTCCACTTCTCCCTGAACTGGTCAGCCCTGGTTCCTTCAGGAGATGTGTCCAACCCAAACGAGACTCTGCTGGGGTACTACCGCTGCTTCACCCGCCAGTTGCTCCAGGCCAACGTCACCCCTGTGGTTACCCTATGGCACCACACCAGGCAGAGGAGCAGCCTGCCCGCCCCGCTCAATAATGCCAACAAGTGGCTCAACAGGTCACTGCACACAACTAATGAATGAAAACCTTTATTACCATGAGGCGAATTTGTCTTATACACCAGACTAGAGTACATAAAAACACTAGATAAAGGCATAGAGACGGAATGTTAAAATAGAGTCCATGTGTCAGAGTATAATACTGATCAATTTATTTAATTTTTTAGAAGATATGTACTTTGTAATGGACAATCAAACCAAATACATACTAATATATAGAAAATATTTCAAAATGTATTATTGTGTGGAAAATTTTCACACATGCATGTATATTGTAGTAGATTAATGGTTAATGATTAATTAATGAAAGATGATAATGGAATATTACAGTTTAGAGTTTTGCAGTTTTTGAATACATGTTAATATGTGCATTTAAAATTCATGGGCATGTTAGTCTTTGCATTAATTAGTAGAGTAGTTTGAAAAAAGTTAAAAAAAAAGTTTTCTAAATGCATTTAATCATACATTTGTATAAGAATTTGTCTGCAATATTTAGATGCTTTCCAACACTCAAAATATGAGTAATCTTTTTATGTGTACTGTTTTGTTTAATATATTGTTGTTGGTTTTTTCCATATTTGAACTTCAGTAAGACCCCTGAGGCCTTCGCTCAGTACGCCAGGCTGTGTTACAGAGAGCTGGGGGCCCATGTGAAGATGTGGATCACTCTGAATGAGCCCAACGATGAGATGGTGAGCTACCAGGAGGGCCATCAGATGCTCAAGGCACACGCTTTGGCCTGGCATGCCTACAACGATGAGTTCAGAGACCTGCAGGGGGGAAAGGTGAGGAGGTTTGACAGTATTATACATAAAACCAGTGAACTTAGTGAGATTTAGTGTAGTGAGTATAGTGTAGTCTATATTACAGGTGCATTATCCTAGCATTTTATCATTGTGCACTAATAGCTTCAACTGTATTCATTGAAAGTTTAGTTAAAGCAGCCAATGTTTAACTAGTATTTCACTTGGAGTCAAATAAACCAAAACTACAGAAGATTAAAACACATTTTATTTCTGTCTTATTCTCAGGTGTCTTTGGCTCTGCACATGGACTGGGTGGAGCCTGCCTACTTGTTAAGCCGTGAGGATGTTGAACCTGCTAAAAGAGTTTTGGACTTCCGTGTGGGCTGGTTCACAGAGCCGATCTTTGGCAGTGGAGACTATCCTCTGGGGATGAGGAGCTGGCTGCGTCAGCTCAATTCAGTTAGGTACAAACTCTACTGTAAGGTTACTGTTTAAACCTGAGCCATCAACACTGAGAAATATTTATAAAGTGTACCTTTCACATTTGAAATAAGGTACCAGTATATAACAATGCTTTATTGCTGTCTCATAAACTGTTTCTTATACGGTATGCTACAGTCATTATTTAATGGTTTTTGGTAGAAGGTCAGCCACCTGCTTGTCTCTATGGAAATGCTTTGCTTTGAATCTTGAACCTTGAACTTGGAACCTTGAACCTTGAACCTTCACACTGTCAATATAGGTTACCTCTTCGTACTATCCTAGCAAACATCACAGTCTGGTTTAATCACGTAGTTACATGCAAGATAAAGATATCCAGCTACTTATATGAAATGGAAAAAATACAGTTTATATAATACTTGCATACATGTTAACATTGTGTAAAATACTGTGTCTTTCCAAAGCCTTCCTGTGTTTAAGAAAGATGAAAGGCCAGTCAAGGGCACATATGACTTTTTTGCAATCAGCCACTTCAGTACCAAACTAGTTACTCATGCCAAAGAAGACTCGTAAGATTTTATTTCTTATCAAATTACTATTTGCTATTTAGTTGTCGTGATAGTTAAATGTTTTTCTCTGGAATACTGCTGTAGGTACACTTATTCTGCCATGTTAGAAGTCCAATACATGATAGACACTACCTGGATCATGTCCCCAAGACCAGTGGTGCCATGGGGCCTCAGGAAAGCACTCAACTGGGTAAGAAACTTACTTGTTAGTTTATTAACAGTAAAATAATGCAAACTTACATGCATTGTTCTATAGGTAAAGGAGCACTACAGTCACGTGCCTGTTTATGTAATAGCCAATGGTGTCCAGGAAGACCCAGCTCATTTCAAAGACAGTTTACGAGTCTATTACTTGTACAACTATATCAACGAAGCACTGAAAGGTAAAAACACAGTAATATATTAACCTTAAATTAATATTTGTCCTTTTCCTCATCTGATCCCAGCTTTGATTCTGAGATTTGTACGTGGAGCTTAATGATAAGACAGGTATTCGGGTCAGTGATCCTGATTGCTCGGCTCATGCAAAGCAGAGGTTTACAAGAAAGGCCGCTAAAGCAGTCAGTTATTTCAGTTTTAAGTTTGCAAAGGATTACTCAAGACTAAGTATGCACTGAGGTGGGATAGGCTCAAAAAATGTTGAAACTATAAATTGTATTAGAAAAATTGGTTCATCCTCAGATGTCTTTAATTCATCAGGAGGTTCATACAAAATCTTTATTTTGACTGTGTTTCTGCAAAATGTTTTAATAATGGCACATTTAAGTCATCAAAAAGTCTCAAGCCAATTATTGCAATCTGTTACTGAATTGGGCTTTGTATTTGCTATGTATTTATTTTGATACATAAATAAGGTGTAACTAATATGGTACAACTATTGGATTGCTGGAAATGTACTAGTATGTGCAGGCTATAAAAGACAATGTATCAACGAAAACTATGAAATTTGTATGTTTTTGTCTTGACAGCGTACACACTGGATGGAGTAAACTTGAAAGGTTACTTTGCCTATGCCCTGAGCGACCAAAGGGACCCTGAGTTTGGATTATACGGCAACATACAGGAGGAGGTCATCATCAAAGCATCTCTGTCCAATTACCAAAACATTATTCAACACAACGGTTTCCCCATACAAGGAGCAGACCCTCAGCAGTGTGCTGGGGGGCCTCAGCCCTGTGTGAGCTGCCAGGTTCTGTCAAAGAGACCGGTTTTGGGGTTCCTCACTCTGGTGGGGTCGGGAATGTTGATAACACTTGGTCTTATCATTTACTACACTGCTAAGAGACACAAAGAAGCCTACTAAATATGTTGTGGTGTTAGCTAATCCTGGTCAAAGCACTTATTTATGCTGCTCTATACTGTCTGCTTTTGTTGTATTATTTTGTTGAACTAATTATTTGTCAAAGTATTGTGGAGTTTTTAAAGTATATATATATATTATATATATATATATATTATATATATATATAATATATATATATATTTTATATATGTGTGTATATATATGTATATATATATATATATATTTATATATTATATATATATATATATATATATATATATATATATATACAAAATGTAGTATGTATTGTATTTATAATAACCTACACACAGTCTAAGTGTGCTTTTTTTTTTTTTATTAAACTAGGCATTTACACATATTTGTTCATTCATAAAGGAAGGCATCACAATACCAAATTTCCTCGTGCTGTTGGGATTTTGTCATTTTTAGAAAAAGCAAAAGTACAGCAAAGTCTTTTTAAAACATCATGGCATCCAGTCCATCCTCCATAAATTTCTTGTAAATGGCCATAAACTTGGCAACGAAAGCCTCAAGGTGAAAGATGGCTTTGCTTCCCAGCTGCAGCCTGTGTTCATACTGCGCTGCCATATGAGCCACTTCTGTTTTCAGATGACCATCACAGTTGCTCAGCAGTTCATTTACAAGACCCTAAGAGAGGAATATTGTCGAATGAATATAGAATTGTGAACAAAACAAAAGCATAAATGCAAAAAAAAAACACCAAAACAAACCTTCATAATCACATCAGGTGGGATGCAGTGAGTCAAGAGCTCATATAATCTGGCACGCACCTCCAGCAATCTATAAAGAGCAAGTAAAAAGCAAGAGAACAATTAAAATTATCACAAGTGCTCTACTTAGAGACGGGTAATATTTTCAATCATCAATATAATATAGTTTTCAAGATGTGAAAAATATTAAGATTTTTAGAAGGATTAGAGCAGATTAAAATCAAAATGGAACAAGGTTGTACTATATTGAAATACCCGTTCAGCACTTTTCTGGTGAATTGTCATAATATCTATTGATCAAGATATTCACTGCTGTTAATACTGCCAACTCCCCGCTCACTTCTATTACTGTAATCCAGATACTGTAATGATTGTCCATTTTACCTTTGTGGACTTTGCTGGCTCACAATTGCATTGGCAGTCTCCCTCAGGTAAACCTCCCAGTCTGTCTCTGGCACTTCCTGGTCTGCTGAGAATGGGTACCTAAACACAGTATAATAAATGTCATAATGTAGATTGTCCAGCACATACAATAACAATAAATTGAATAAGAAGATGCAGATCCATTCTTACTGCTGTACTCTGCAGGCTTCACACATCAAAAGAGCTTTGCGGAGATTACGACCAGACTTTTCAGAGATTTGTTTTGCCAACTCAGGAGGAAGGAGGAGCCCCTCTTTTTTGCACACAGCAGCCAAAACACTACACACCTAGAAAACATGAAAACAGCAGTGAATGACAAACAATAGTTTTTACTAACAATATTATAAGATAATGGTTTTCTCACTTCTTCTGCGCTTGGAAGAGGCACTCTGACAGCCAGACATCGACTTCTGATTGGTCCAATAACTTTGGAGGTGGAATTACAGCACAGGATGAGACGGCAGGTGGACATGTATTTCTCCATGGTACGACGCAAAGCATGCTGAGCATCTTTGGTGAGCCTGTCCACCTCAGTTAGTAGGACCACTAAGATTTGAATAGACAAACAAATACATTTTAGGCAAAAAGCAACTGCATTATACACACCTTTACCATTATAATAGAAAACCTCATACCTTTGAAGTCTCTCTGGGTGCTTGACTGGATTTGTTGAGATTGAGCTACTGTTTTAATTAGCTCTTGAATGACCACACGGTCCTGATTTCCTGCATCACTAAAGACAACACAACAAATAACTTCATACTCATATGTACTTTCTTGACTATAATAAAAGTTGACAATTACCTGGGATTAACTTCCAAGTGATAATTGCTTGCTATAGTATTGATTTCAATTTTCTTCTTTGATGGCGCCTAAAGACACAAAAAGCGCCATTCACATTAACACAAAGAATTTTTAAAAATCTGTCTTAGAATCTTTCGTATTGTACATTATTTGTTTTTGTCTTACCACAATACTTTGATGCTCGATTCGCAATTTCTCCACTCCAGCTCCATACAGCTCCTTCAGCAAACACATAATGCGGGTTTTCTTTCCAGACCCCGAAGGGCCATACACTAACAAATGTGGGAAGTCGCCACATTGGACCTAAAGTAAACAAATATCAGATAGATCCATGTAGATAGATTCGTGTCTATGATAAGCAGAGAATAATGCTAAACGGGGTGCTAACTCTTCTTACCAGGTTTTTCAGCTGCGCGGCTTGCTCTTTGTGATAGTCCAGTTTGGCAAGGGAGTTGGGTCTGTATTTATCCACCCACAAACTCATTTTTTGATTTTTAGATTCGACAGCAAATGCACTTCGTTGTGGATGTTGTTGACAGTCGCAGTTCTCCCGCGAAATCTCACAATCAGGAAGCGCGCGCCGGTCCTCCTACAGGGGCTACGGACACTCCACTGGGTCAAACTACATCACCGCGCTGCTGTATTATTCTTTATTTTTGGCACTAAACATTCACAAGTTCATGCTCTTTGTAGATGATGAAGCGACGACACAAAGGAAAAGGCCAAGGTAATCACTTATATATATCAGAGACATAGTATGTTAAGACATATACGGTGTTGTAAATTGTATCTAAAATAGAAGTGTTGCACAGTGTGGCATTATGTTAATTGACATGTGTGCAGCTGCTACAGATGTGAAGGCTTTTGCTAACTTTAGACTGGTTCATACGCAGTGTTGGGAAGGTTACTTTTAAAATGTATTCCCCTACAGATTACAGATTACATACACCAAAATGTAGTTTGTAACGTAATCCATTAAATTACTTATAGTGAGTAACGTAATCTGAATACTTTGGATTACTTGATTTGCTGTAGAGAAGCAAAGACGAGGAAATCTTCACCAGACTTCCAGACTTTATTGAACCATATTAAAAATATTATTGATAGAAGAGGAGGAGACATGTCCACACAGCATGGTTTAGTACTGGTTTAGTTCTGGTTTAGGCAGTTTAGTAGTTTTTTAGCTTTAGCCTGGTTTATACCTGGTTTAGTTTGGTTTAGGCCTGGTTTAGATCTGTTTAGTTTAGAGAGTTGGTTTTTATCTGGTTTATCTGGTTTAGTCCTGGTTAGATAGTTTACCTGGTTTAGACCTGGTTTTATCTGTTTAGATGTTAGTTTAGACTAGTTTAGTCTAGTTTAGTCTAGCTGGTTTAGTCCTGGTTTAGATCTAGTTTAGTTTAGATCTAGCTGGTTTAGTCCTGGTTTAGATCTAGTTTAGATCTAGTTTAGACCTGGTTTAGAGTCCTGGTTTTAGATCTAGTTTAGTTTAGCTGGTTTAGTCCTGGTTTAGGTTTAGATCTAGTTTAGATCTTAGTTTGGTTTACCTGGTTTAGTCCTGGTTTAGATCTAGTTTAGATCTAGTTTAGACCTAGTTTAGTTTAGTCCTGGTTTAGTCCTGGTTTAGATCTAGTTTAGATCTAGTTTAGTCCTGGTTTAGTCCTGGTTTAGATCTAGTAGTTTATCTAGTTTAGATCTTTTTTAGTTTAGTCCTGGTTTAGATCCTAGTTTAGATCTAGATCTAGTTTAGTCCTGGTTTAGATCTAGTTTAGACCTTTAGTCCTTTAGATCTAGTTTAGATCTAGTTTAGATAGTCCTTAGTTTAGTCCTGGTTTAGATCTAGTTTAGTCCTAGATCTAGTTTAGAGTCCTGGTTTAGTCTGGTTTAGTCCTGGTTTAGATCTAGTTTAGATCTAGTTTTAGTTTAGTCCTGGTTTAGCTCTATTTTACCTGGTTTTAGTCCTAGTTTAGTCCTGGTTTAGATCTAGTTTAGACCTGGTTTTAGTCGTTTAATCCTGATTAGTTTAGTTTAGTCCTGGTTTAGATCTACTGGTTTAGATTTTGGTTTAGTGGTTAGAACTTTAGCCTGGTTTAATGTGGAATTAGTGGAAAAAAAAAAGAAAAAAAAGGGGGATATAGCCCAAATGTGAAAACAGGAAAATACTGCTGTGTAATCCATTTATTTCAGCAAAGTAACTGTAATCCAATTACCACTCCGAATGCCTCAACCGAATACAGTTACTCATAATTTGTACTCTGATTACGTAACTCTGGTACATGTAATCTGTTACTCCCCAACATTGTTCATACGTGCACAAATCGGACAAGTAGAGACATTTTACATTGTACGTCGAACCAGGGTTTAAGACATGAAAATGAACTATGTTACTTTAACTTGGTTGATCAGAGATTTTTGTGCCACCCGACCACAAAAGATTTAATTGTGTTTACTACCAGTATAAGTCAAACCAAGTTTTTAATTCAATATTTTTAAATTAATCAGTAAAATGCTAATGTTTTACAGTAATGTAACCTTGATGACAAGCAAGGAAAATGACTGCTAACCTTCTCCCAGTGTTTGTAGCACATTTGAGCATGGACAAGACACTATAGTAAAGTCCACACTACAGAGGTATGTATACAAAAAATAATAGATATGCATTTTTTTCTTTCTTTTTAAACTTCTTATATGTTAACTACACATCAGGCTGAACACCATATTATAGGCTACTACTCTCCTCACTTATTTCACTTGATTTGTCCTAATATAAGTGTAATAGTTTTGTCACAATATTAAAATTTCTCAATTTTATCACTAAGGAATAGCCTCGATACTTTACTGATTTTTGATACCACAGTGATTATGAAATGCTCCTTTTAAAAACATATTTTCAACACAAAATAATTGCACTTTTTATGTTAACATAATTCCAATGATAATGCTCAAGATTGTTATTAAAGTGTTCGGCAAAGGTCAAATTTTCTATTTTTGTGTTTTTTCTCTCTCTCTTTTTAGTATCAATACTTTCCATATCAGTTTTAGTACTTGAGTTTTGATACTTCTGACAATCAGTGATCTGTCATAGTTCACATTATCCTTCTCGGCCTCTATCATTTCACCTGAAGCCTCACTGTGGTAACTGTATTTCTGTGATAGGAATGCTGGGTACGAGGAGCGTGTCTCTGCAGGTCGGCGTAGCTTGCATTGAAATGCATGTCTGAGGTAAATTGATGTGCATCTGTCATCACTGTAACATACTGTAGCATGGTGTAAAATGTGAGGCAGGTGGGGGCCATAAGGTTGTCAAGTTCTTTACAGAATAACCATGTAAATAGTTATAGGACTAAACCAGGGTAAATCAAGAACAATGCTGCTCTACATTGGAACAAAATTAGTTACAAACCACATTTGAACCAGTACATGGACCAAAGCAGTAACAAAACTAAACCTAAACTTTGACTGAATGAACTGTAAGCCAGATCAGAACCAGATCCAAAGCAGAATCTAACCATTTCTAAAACCAGTATTTAAGTACAAAACTAAATAAAAAATTAACCCTGTTTAAAAGCTTTAAAGGGTTAATAATCCGTTGTATTCCACAGCCTTGCATCAATTAAATATATTTAGCGCAATTTGTGGTTCTCAATGCAATATTATCCCCACCACAAGAATCTTAAATCATGCTGGTGTTTCCTAATGGCATAAACCTGTGGGAAATAAAAAGTATTTGAAAACATACATATTTTTTTGCTTGTATGTGGCTCTCCAGGAGCAGGCCTTAACAGGCAGGACCCTCTCAAGGTTAAGGTGCAAATAACAGGTCTTTACTCTTGACCAATGACATTCTCTTTGAAACATGAAATTCAGTGTTTGCCAACAAACTCTAGGAATTCCTCAGTCCTCTGAGAGCTGTTTAAAAGTCTTATTTATAAGTCTCAGTCAGTTTTTGCAGTTGCTCAAAATAGCCTAATTTGAGAGATTTACTGAAGTTAACGATTCAAACATTACCTCATGTTTATGATGGAATGTGCTTCCCAGGTAAAATTCTTTAGCCACAGGCCAAATTATACAGCAATAACCAAAAAGAGTCAAGAGACGTATTTTTCACATTTTAAGTCAAGTCTATACAGCTAAATGTACAAACCGTTTTTAACCCAGTTTTCACACAGCTGCCTTGCCCCGGTTATTCATGTGCTTTGGTCATAAAACAACACACCACACACGGTTACACAAACACCTGCCTGTGTCTCGCTGAGGTAATGTAGGAGGGCAGAGCATTCCTCTGCACTTCTCTCCTCCCCTCCTTACTTTGCTCGTTCATATCTTTTCAAGGTAAACTCGGTGGATTTGTACTACACATCAATGAGACGCTTTCCCTGGATCAAAAGACAACCACCTCTAGGTGATGTGTTTTGGATGACAGCAAAGGTATGTACCGGTAAACTATATTTTGTAGTATAGTTATCTGCCAATACAGTCCCTGTTTGGGATTATATATACATTTACTTATGTTATTCTTTTACTGTGTCAGTTATGTGGACAATGTGTCATTCTAAAGCACATATTCAAAAGTATTATTTTAGGTATATAAGGGTCCCTTATCCTAATCCATTATAATGATAGTGGTGAGTCCTTTAAGAAGAAGAAGAGAAGGAAATTGCTGCTTAAACACACCATATAAAATCCATTTGATGTTAAACATAAAATATACATTTAAAGGTTTCTGATCTTTTTTCTTCTAGGTTGACTGGTGTTACAAAGCAATAAACATGTTAGGCAAGGAAAGGGTGTGTAGGCCAAAAATACTCACCAGGAAAAAACACTGTGTTTTAAGCAGACATTTGTCAGACAAACTCCTTCAAGCTGCAGGGAGCTGTCAACCTCTTTGGGAGCAATAACTTACTATAGCTCAGACACATTTTCCATTGTCCTCAGAGTTACTTCTACAACTCAATTACTACTGCTGGAGTTAGCCTTTTGTATATATATATATATATATATATATGTTTGCAGTTATTTGTTTGCTCTGGTAGCTTACATTAGCCTTCAAATCCCCTGCCTGTAGGTGTGAGGTAAGGACCAGGATTGTGCTTTTGTGATGAAATGGACAGATAAACTTGTCTAGGCATTGTTATCTCCATCTGTATTGACTGTACACCACTGCTATGTTTATGGATACCACTATGAATCATCTCACATACCTCATTGAAATAAGAGAAACATGTAGTCTTTTTTTTTCATCTTTTTAGGACTAGAATAAGGCATTTAGATTAAGAAATAATAATAATAATTTATGGTCCCCTTAGGGAAATTTATCTTTCATATTTGACCCATTCGTCATTTCCAGAGGGGCCAGTCAGGGGCAGATGACCCATCTCCTGAATTTAAATTCAGCTTGGAATGAACTATAATAACTAATATATAACTAAATTACTCCTCCAGCTATATGGAAGAATAATTTATTGTATGCACTTTAGCTATTTAGGTTTTGCGAAGTATATCAAAAATTCTTTGTCACCCATTTTGCAAATATGTTTTTTTTTTCTCTCTTTACAGCTCAACTTTGAGAGACAACTTGTAAAAATATTCACATCTGGCTCTTGAATAAGTGTGATAAACTAATTGCTGTGTTTTAGCAGCTTAACCCCCCTCTGACAGATCATCAGGCTCAGTTAACAGGGCCTATAGATCAAATTGCCATCAAAGTCTTGTCAGATGCAGACGATTAGTGATGCATGAAGGCCCAATGGTAGCTCTGCTTATTGAGCAGCGGTTCAACAGGCCCGAGTACCCTGAGGCGCTCGCTCTCCCTCCAGTAAAACTACAAGGTCAAGTTCTGGCTCTTGCCCAAGCCTCTAATAACTGCAACACCATGTCTGAGCCTGTCCCTATGCTGAAATGTGCCCCCGATTCACCGGACAGCAATTCTCTCAGTGGGATAGAGCAAAAACATAGATGGCCCTTCTTCTTCTGAGTTAAGTAAGATGAACAAAATGCAAAATTATGGGAATTTGAAGGATTCCTTTGTAACTAATATAGAGGCATCACCAACTGAAGACAATGAAGATACTCTATTAAAAGAGTTCTATTTAGCTACTAACTTTAATGTTCCAAATTCACCTCTAAACAGCGACAAATTCTCTCATAATTATCTTGATGTCAGAGATACAGACTGCGTAACATCACCAGATTCAACCAGTGAGGACCTACCCACATGATCTGCTAAGGATAGTAAAACACAAACCAAGCGCTATTGTGTTTTCTGATTTTGATCACAGCCCTGAAAATCAAGCTATCTTCCCCAATGAAGGCCCTAAAGTCAGTGGAGGGTCATCTTCTTCATCCACTACAGAAGGGAGCGAAGAGGAGGACGATGATGATGATTTTCCTGAAGCTTCACAATATAAGGAATTCCTGGTCAGTCGTCGCCGTAGAAACTTGAGCAGGAACAGGAAGTGCTTGAGGAAGAGACAGGATGCCCAGCCTAGTAGCACTTGTGGTTGGCAAAAGACCACTACCACCGGCAGTAGCAGCAACGCAAGCAGCAAGGGCCGAATTCAGTCTACAGGTGAAGAAAAGGAAATACTGCAGGACAATGGCAAAGAGGTAAGAGAAACAAGTTTCATATGCAATTGAAAGCCCAAAAGTAATTAATTTAAGTTGTGGTCAATGTGTATTGCTTATAATGGCTTTGTCTGTAGGATTTAGTCATTGGTAATATGATGTAATATATTTAGACTCCACCAGAGGGCAGCATATGAACATTATAGTATTAGTATTAGCTTTATGTATGCAGTGGTTTTTATCTTCGGCCCTCCTAAGTACACCAGCCAACAGGTTTAAATGTTCACTTTACAATTTGGTCAAATGCATCTCTCTGATAAGAATAACTGTAAAAATTAGTCATGTGTATTGTGCACTGTTGCAACGAATAACTAAACTTAACGCTTGCAATGATAAGATAAGATTGCTATAGGGCTTTATTTTTAGTTTACATTTCTGCCATAGCGCTAGTCACGTTTTCAGGGAATGTTTGCATTGAAAGTGAACAAATATCAGATAGATCACCTTTGGGTCTGGTGGATGCCAGCCTACCCACTGCATCCCCATACAGGATTAGTTTATACAAGTTATATTCATGAATGAAAACAGTCATAAAATAAGAATATTGTGTGCGATTGTGGTAGTTGCTCTAGACTATTATTTTTGACAAATTTTAAGATGATTAATTGATGATTGTATTGCATGTTTGTATTTTAGAAACTGAAATAGAAAGTTCCACATTAGTGTCTTGTTGCGAGTGGGAATGGTCACTGACATTTTGGCAGGTTTCATAAATTCCTCCCATTTTTCCTTGGGCTGCTCCTGGTATTTCCATCTTCAAGCTGCCCAGTGCCAGGTCATTATTCTAATCCCCCACCTGTCGTACTGCACCCCTGTCCCGTTGGCACTGTCCCACCCTGCCCTCTGGCTCTCTTTGTACCTCTGTGCCCCTTATAAACACTTGTTCTTCTTGTGCAGCTTTTGTCTTGCTGTCCCTCTCAAACTGTCACTTATTGGCGGTTCACATTCAAATACATGTAAAGTCAGAAAGGACCCCTTGTGGCTGTGCATTCTTGGGATTTTTATGCTGGGGGTTGTTTCATCACAGTGCATAATGAAGGAACAACTTTCAAATGGGATAATTTAAGGAATTATATATAGCTAAATTATATAAAGCTAAATGAAGTGTACACATGGATTTACTGTGGAACCTACAAAAATGTGTTGGCAGCCAAATTTAGGCTGATATTTAAGTTGCACTTTGTACCGTAATTTTTCTGGAGGAGTTTCTGCCACCTGCTTGTCTCTATCATGGAGATGCTATTGCATTGCCTGAGGTGTTCCACATTATGGTATTAAACTTAACTACCTTGCATTTATTAATTTACAGGTGTTTTATTGCTATGCCTAATGCCTTGAAAAGTAAATGCCTTTTTGCTCTCTACTGGGTCACCTCTCCACAGATCTGAAATTGGCCTGTTGGTGTCACCTGCTCGTTTCTATGGAGCTAGATTGGTGTAATGCTGGAATATTACAGCCAAAGCATTAATATTGCCATGGAAACAGACAGGACAAAAAATGTTGCGAAGACCACTTTTAAAGGAGACTATTGAGGCATATAATAGATTTTACATCTAATAAGGTGAGATAACCTCTTCACATTAAGTTAATGGATGTGACACCTCAGACAGGTCACCGTAAAAATGAAAAGCCCTTTTTGTAGTTAGTATGTTGAGGGTAGAAAGAAAGATGCATTAATGCTTCTTCTCTGTATAGTGAAAGAAAAAAGGCTGATTAACATTTCATGAACTTTGAGAGCACTCACATTAACTACGTGGCTCTGTACTACTATACAGTTGCATTGTTAAATCCCTTGCAAGCCTCCACTTCCCTAACACTTTTTTCCCAAATGAAATTTTAGAAAACTCAAATGTAATGCAAAAAACAAACAAAAATATAGTGTATGTATAATATTAAAAAGCACTATCTCTCTCAATTTCTCCCTGCTATAGGCCTTTTCTTCTGGTATTGTACTGGTATCAGTCCTAGTGTAAACCATGTAGATCCTACTCTTATCCGGACTGTATTACACTCCATATTCCATTTAGGTCTAAAATAGTTTAACACATTTCTCTCTCTTCGTAGTTGAAGCCTGTCCTGCAAATTGTAGGTTAAAAATAGCTCAGAGTACACAGCCCCTCAGTGTCCCGTGAGTGAGATGTGGGGGCTGCAGCTACACAGGAAATGACTGCACTGCCAGGCCGTTAATGTAGATATTTTCTAGACTGGGTTTGGGCATAGGCAGTATTTGTGAGTGGGTGGGTACAGGGGTAAAGGGTGGAGAGGGGGAGAGAGGGGGTTGCATGTATGTGAGTTCTGTTTGGTCTTGAAGCTCCTCAAAGGACCCTATGTGCTGCTATCAGCCTCTGGGACTCAGGGATCAGCCGAAACAAAGCAGTTTGTTCATTTCCTGAAGCCACCAAAAAAGTGTCTTAGTCCTACCAGAGGAGAGGGACAATTCAGCTAAGGGCTAAGGCATGTTACAGCATGTTTTATTACATAACTATCTTAACAAAGTGCTCTTTCATCATTTGTATTCATTTGAGCCATTTTTCTGTTATTTTTTCATATTTTTCATCATTGGAAAAGAGCTAAAAGTTGCACATAACTTCTAAATTGGTTATATAGTTACATTAATCCTGGTGTTTAGTTATTTTGTTAAGATTCTGAGCCACAGCTGCCCAGATGGATGGCTGCCAATCAGCACCTACAGCCCCCTCCGATCATCTTCAGTTACTCAATCTTATTACTATTTATTATGTATTTGATTGATTTTATTAAAGAAAACATTTAGTGGAATAGATGGATGAATTTCTAACATTTTGTTACGTCACCCATATGCTTTTGTCTAGGCAGCTATGGGACCTAATTGACTAAAATCAATTCGACACATAAATATTAAGACAGCACACTCATTAATTGCGTATCAAGAGCGATTTCAGATATAACAGCATCTATTTCTGTCTCCACAACATTGTCTTTCAAAGTTTGTGCCATCTAAAGTCATTTTACCAGCAGTCTCTCCAGTGGTCCTTGCTTCAGTTTGTTCTACAATAATGTCTTTGAGAAGGCGTGACCTCCTCCACACTCAAACACACACTCGATCGAAACTCTAAAACAAAGTGCTCATGTGTGAAAGCCCAGTGTGCAGCCCCATTAATCAGCGCTGCTTAATGAGAATAAAATGCTTTTTGTGGGAGAAAAGAAGGCATCTGTTCAAGAGTAATCCTCAAAATTTTCCTTAGACGTACCCATGTGTGCATGTCTTAGGGGGCTGGTGGTGACTCTATGACACTCCTGATGAAGAAGTTGGATCAGATTAACAACAGGATCCGAGACGCCCCGTCCTCCCCCTCAGACCCCCTCCAGTCAGACGAAGAAGAGCTAAACACTCAGGTATGCTTTATTAAGGGCCGGTAAGATATACAATACTGTGCATATCTATTCCACTAACTTAGACTCAAAACCTAACCTTAGTCTAAATTAACCCATGTCTTTATGTGTCTCAAAATGTGACTCAAATTGCACACACCTTACACACCTTATAAAGATGAAATTGAGTTTTTGAGAGGTATTGCCTGTGCTTCAGTTTTACCTCCTCAAAAACATACCTGGAATTGTGTTTTGTTTCATTCACACATGCTTGAGTAATCCTTTATTATTAGGCTGTCTACATCTCCAAAGCTCAAAATGCTCTGTTCCACCTTATGTCATGTTGTGGTAGTTTTCAAGTTAACAGCTACTTTTAACCTTTTGTTCAATAGAGATTGGTAGTTCCAGAGCAGAAATTATCCAAATGATTCTAGTGAAGGTGTATGGAGTTTAAAAACACAGTGGAACCCCTACTATATTACCACATGACATCACAAGGTGGAACAGAGTGTTTACCGTCTGAGAGAAGAACTCATCTTAAATATGCAGGATTTGCGTATTAAACAATTCCAGATTAATGTTCACGTATAATGCAATAATAAGTGGTAAGGTCCCACCATGTGCATACCAAGCAAAAGTCAATAGCCTTAGACTTGCAGACTTTCCTCTGTTTAAAACACATTAATTACAAATAATAGCTTGAGCCTGGCTCCTCTCCAAATCTGTTGTTTTTCTGCCAGTAAAAGCTCTCTGCATTTGGCAACAACATCAATCTCCCACAGACAGTAAGTGCACAGCTCATTGGCAGTTTATGAGTATTTTAAACTAATATGTAGTGCTGGTTAGTACTCACCATATTAATACCGGTTGAGTAGAGTAACTTTTCAGATATTAATAAAAGCAAAGACACCTTACTTCTAAGTCAGTCATATGTATTTTGGCAACAATAAAGAGACCAACTTTACTTTTAAAGAGATGTTGAACCTAATCAATTCATTTCCAAATGGATTTGCTTATCTGGTTAAATAAATGTTTGTGTGTGAATGTGTGTTTTAACATTTTAAGCTTTTTCTGCACCCCCACCCATGTCTATTTTTCAAAAGCTTTCATTTGCGAAAATTTACATTAGTTAACATAAAAATGTCCTTGGAAATACCTGATTGATCATGCTACTGTATGTGTTGTCTGTCTTCTTTTTTTTAATCTGACCAATTTGAACAACTTTCAAAATATGAGTATAAAGTTGGCTATTCCAAATGTTTAACAGTGTATTTAACGTAATTTTTGGAAACACCTTTGGCTTCTTTCTGTGCTGTACATTCCCCCTGGCTCATTATGCTTACCACGTGTAAATCTACTAACCTCAAATAGCTCTTAAACCAACAAAAGTGAGCCAAAGGAATCCTCATAAAATCAAATATTCTCTTAAAAGAGGCAGGATTTAATCAAAGTAATTTTAAAGTCTGCAGACTCAACCAAACCTCACACATTTCTGACAGATTGGATCACTAGGTTACATAATGTAGTTGTACAAGATGCTAATTTATTCAAAGGCCATGGCACCTCTTTATTCTTGTGTTATCAAAAATTATTTTCCAGCAAAATAGTTTGTGGACACAAATAGGCCTGTCACAGTACCACATTTTAAAATGTGATATACTGCATACATATTGAAATAAATCCATGACCCATTAAGAAAGTCTAATTGTACAATATATTTAAAAAAAAAACATGAGCTACAATAAATAAATATCATAAATGAAACACTTTAGTAGTTACTTTGTATCTATAATATCATAGATGTTATTTGTTCAACCATCTACAGCTCAAATTGTATCGTAGTCGAGAAAAATAACAAAAAGTTCACCACTAGAGTAAAGAAAATTGATTGACCTCCAAAATATTTAGTTCCAGCTATAATTTACTAAACAGCAAGTCGATTTAATTACAGGCAATACACAAGCAGCTGCCAGACAGAAAAGGTACATAATGCACTTTTAGTATTTGCTCATAAAAAGTAAAAACTTGCTAAAGTAAAAGTTAATCTGGCCCTAATAGCTGTAGATCTAAACTGTACTGTACAATACATGGGACGTAATGTATAGTCTTCAGTTGAGCGTTATGATCAATAAAACTAAAGATGATTCGTGCAGCTGTTCACCCTGCTGTGAAAGAGGAGAATGGGCCCATTTATACTGAAAAATGTCAAATATTTATGGGGTAGTAAAAATGTAGTGACCTCAGCCCATATCAGAAATGCATAACCTTTTTATGTCTCAGAGGCGACACTGGGTGCTGCAGCCAACTTCATCCATTTTTAACAAAGGCTGTGTTCGATCTGAAGAATGCTTTGAATGTGAGTGAAACTGAAGTGATTACATCTCTATAGGATATATTCACTCACAGATACCAGCCAACACGGCTCATTAGGAGGAATGTATGTGGTCTTTTATTGGATAGATTCAATATGATTTAATGTGTATTTTGTATTGCTGTAACTATTAATCAGATATTGAATCAATCACATTAATAACTGATTATCTAAATAATTGTTTGTAATTGTCCTCTGGACTATACCATCTCTAAAGCATCTGCCAAAAGCCATTTTTATTACAGTGAGAGCAACAGTATTATTGGAAATGGCAAAAAGGTTCTATGTCTAAAAGCCATTGGTCAGCATTAGAAAATCTCAGTGTACCTTAGAAGAAAATAATAATTTGACTAAATCAATTACTCGACTGGAGAACTATAAATGGTAATATTTTTATATAGCGCTTTTCCACCTTCAAGGTGGTCAAAACGCTTTACAACAAGGAACCACTCACTCACACACCAGTGTATGCAGACACAACAACAGCATTCATCTGTGGGAGCTGAAATCATACCAGTTAACCTGTGGGTCAGTGGATTTGACAGCTCAACCAATGATGTTTATGTAGAGAGCGGGATTCAAACCTGAAACCTTCAGGTGGACAAATGTTCTACCAACTGAGCTACTGACGCCTATTAAATCGATAGTTACAGCCCTAGCATTTTGGCATAATTATTCTCATTTTCTGTTCTCTTCTTTTACGCCGACCTTGCAGGTAAAGTTGACCAGCTGACTTTTACAGTGTTATGCCTGTGAGAGGCAAAGATTCTCACTTAAGGCATAAATAGTAAAAGATTTGTTTCCATTGAATTTATTGGAAATTTAGTGTCATCTCTTCCTGAGACCTTTGTGATTAGTGGATTCATTAGTAACTCCTGAATTTGATATCAAACAAGTTTAGATAATTGATGGTTGTTTTATTATACTTCTAGGTCTATTCAGGTAACAGTTTGGACAAATATGTCTACATCTTTGCTCAGGGTTTACAAGCTAGTAAATCTAGTTATGTTTTTGGCTTCTGTGTTGGATCTCTGCCAAAGAAAGCATCACTAGGTTAGCCAGGAGTTTAATATTATAGCTTATTGCTCATTCAAAAAGGATTCTTTCTGTGATGGCCTATTTTAGGCGATATCCCTCATAAAATGCTTAAGCCACTGTGTTAATGACATTACTGGAAGGGTTTACATGGTCTATTAAAAGTCTTGCATTGGGAATGTACCCTCATAAAATCCCTGAAATTTAGAAGAAAACCAACACTAAAATTAGACAAAAATGAAGTTGGACCTTATTTCTGGGACATTATGTTTTTGACACTTTTTTATAGTTATAAAATATAACATGACCAAATTGAAAATAGTCTCCAAGGCTAAAGCGGGAAGATTGAACACAGACATGCTTTGTGTAGGGAGTCAAAGGAAAAATGTGTGCCATCTGATCTAATTTGTACACTAAGCATGCTGAGACTGGGTGATGCCAAATAAAAACGTTTCACCTGGATCTAGATGTTTTTAGTAAAAAATCTCCCTCCCCACTCCTCTGATCTTTAAGTGGTTACGCCTTTGCCACTGACTCATCAGTCATCACTCAAGACTGATTTTGTGTTGTGGATATTTTAGAGCAATTTTAAGGTGCAGCGTGCAGCTTTTTTGGTGAATGGTCTGCCACCTGTTTGGCTTGATGGAGATCGTTATCTCCATAGAGACACAAATGTCGATAACATATTTTTTAAAAAATAAAACAAGTCAGTATGAATCACTGAAAGATACTTGCATATAGTGAAATATTTCAGGCAAAACAATAACATACAGACAAGCAAGCGCAGATCAGAAGTTCCATAGTACAGCTTTAAAACACTTACATTGGTATCTAGTGTGCTATCAGGCCTTTGACTGTGTTACTGTTTATGACTTCAATCCACCTCCTCTGGGGTTGCCCACACATTTTGGGACACACTGGTCTTTTACATCTCTCCCTGGTGACCCATGTATATAATAGTGATCTCATGAAGTCAGCAACGGGTAGAGATGATGGACATGGTTTGATAAATAGGAGAAGGGTGATGGACTTTGTAATGACTGTGACAAATTCAGAGCCCTAAAACACAGTAATACGACTGAAGAGATATAATAATATAGATATAATATAACACAAGACATCAAGAACAAACAGCATCTGATATTTTATTTTGCTATAGCTCCAGCAAACAAACTTTTTGTTAGACCAATTTGAATATGATTACATTAAACTATATATAAAACTGTTTAAAATACACATTAAATTTTCACAATGGCTTCAGTAAGTCCTTTGTAATTCCTTAAATGTTGTATCTTTTTGAATAAGGTACTCAGCAGATTCCATAAGGTTCAATAAAAAAAAACAAGTTTGATGATTTTTAGGAAGTTTTGCAAAATGTGTGAGCTGTGGGTCTGAATATTTTTCTCACTGTGAATTTGTACAGTGTGTTTTTGTTTTGTTTTTCTGCTTACTTAAAATGATGTTATTACTTTTACTACTACTACTATAGTAGAGTAATCATTGTAAAATTGGATTTTCCATTGGGCTACATCATATTAATAAAAAGGAATTAAAACGGGTCTGAAAACTTGGTCTGAAGTGTCTATTGTAAATCTCCCCTTCCTATCTCTCTCTCCTCTCAGGATGCTCCATCCAGCAGGATACCCGGTCGCTCCCTGAGTCTGGACCAGGGCAGAGCATCAGACAAGCCTGAGCTACAGAGACGCCGCTCTCGCCCCCTCACCCGCAGCCGACCACTCACCCGCTCCTCCCTCTCCTCCCCCATGCACCTGCATGCACGACGGGCTAGGGTGAGTCTATTCATTTGTACATGTAATGACAGCTAATGACAAATGTACTAATGAGCTTTTTCAATTGCTGTATATAATTCTTAATTACTTTGAATCTAATGTTAAAGGTGCATTGTGTAACTTTTCTGGTGGAAGGCCCATCAAATAATTTTCCTCATAGATGCTTTGTTTAGAAATGTTTCACATTATGGTATCCTTTTTTATGTTCATGGAGACCAAACCAGACCAAGTTACAGGTCAGCTCTGTGGAGAGGCAACCCCGCTCTCAGACAGAGTGTATATTTTTCTATGTATTTTTGAGTTATAAAACCACCTCTAATTGAACAAATCTAAAATAGAGCTGTTTACTGTCATATTGTGTAACATTCCAGGCAGAGAATTGACACATCCATAGAACCAAGCAGGTGATGGAACCGTAACCAAAAAGTTACATAGTGCACCTTTAACAAAAGACAAATATACAAATTAACATTAGAGTAAAAAAGAAAAAAAAAACTTGTTATCTCTAAATATAGATGTACCTCAGTTTCCATGGTGAGTATCAGTTTGTTTGAACAAAACCGCTGTTCACAAACCAAACTCCAAACAGCTGATTTCCAGTTGTTTTACATCTGTGGATTTTTATATCCCTGAATTAACTAAATGCTAACTTAGGCATTTTCCATCATAAAGAATAAACTCCCAAAGATTGACAACATGTCCACTGACAGACCTAGATACATTTCTCTATAGAGCACTTTGTCTAAATTTAGTCTTTCATAACAAGTAGGTTATAGGCGACTGCTGCTTCTGTAATTAGACACCAACCAGGGCCTGGACTGATGAGGTTATCACTCAAAAGTCAATATGGCAAGTATGATTTATTTCAGTCATCAATTCTGTTCATTCATGTATTACCTAAATTGGAGACTATTTAATAAGTTTTAATTTAGTCAATGTCATTCATAAATATGGATCTTGACACTTTTAGGTTAGAACAAAATGAAATGTAAAAAATATGCTAGAATTACCATAAAGTCACATTTCAGTTTCTGTTATTTATTATACACTTGAATCTTTTCCACTTTTCCATGTGTGTGCACCATTTTATTTTGACATAAAGGCATGACATATAGCAGATAGGCCCATATCGAGTTACTGTTCAATATATGAGCTGGAACAATACATTTTGGAGCTCAAAATATATTGTATATACAATTTCTTTAGAAAAGTGGGGAAATTTAGGGTATTTTTGTTTTAACAGAATAACATTTGAGCTGTAAAAGTTGAATAAGTGACTTCTAAGGCTAATTATTGGTACATGGTATTTGTTTCAGCTCAGACCTTTAAGAATGGTTTACTGGGATTGTCTAGCATTATTGTTACTGTGTCAGTGGCAAAAGTAGTTTCATTATTATCATTTTCATTGCAGTATATCTCTGCAGTATATTGTGCTTCAAAATTTGTTATCATGGCCTAATGGCTGATACTGTATTATGCCAGATGCATTTTATAAAACTCTATGCACTGACCAAATTGCATCTTTGTAATCTAAACCAAAATATATTCTTTTCTTTTAGATAATGGACATGGTTTGATAAAGAGGGAATTTTGTAAATAGGAGAAGGGTGATGGACTTTGTATTGACTGTGGCAAATTCAGAGCCCTAAAACACAGTAATAGATATACTGAAGAGATATAATAATATAGATATAATATAACGCAAGACATCAAGAACAAACAGCATCTGATATTTTATTTTGCTATAGCTCCAGCAAACAAACTTTTTGTTAGACCAATTTGAATCCGATTACATTAAACTATATATAAAAAATGTGTTATCATGGCCTAATGGCTGATACTGTATTATGCCAGATGCATTTTATAAAACTCTATGCACTGACCCAAATTGCATCTTTGTAATCTAAACCAAAATATATTCTTTTCTTTTAGTATATTTTTTTAATCCAAGACTGTTTCACCTTATCATGTAGAATAAATGTTTTGTTGTATTTTTCCATTTGTTTAAACCTGGTCTCTGGCTCCGGGCTTGAGTCCAGTGTCTCTGCTGTTGTGTCAATACAGTCACAGTAAAAGGATGAGGCAGCTCAAACCGCCCCAAGAAATGCAAGGTCATCTCTATCAGAGTCAGCACTGCGGCAACAAGAGCTACTACAGACAGACCTATTCAAGCCCACATAATGCGAGCTTTAAGCTAAAAGTTGGATCTCCAAATTGTCAGTATGACATCAGAATTTGGTGGTTTAAGGAGCCTATTGTTTGACATTTTGAAATTGTGTGGTTTAGTGAGAATTCTATAGTAGGATTTGCCTTTTGGTTAATATCTTGGTAATTGTTAATAATATAAGCAAAACCACCATTCATTGAACGAAGGTAATCATTTTCTTGCAATAGTATGAACATGTGTATCATTACTGAGTCTGCATGATGTCATCAATTTAAATAACTTGGACACATAGAAATAATTTGACATGCTTGTGATGCCATTTCCATAAAATATAGTTTGACTTTTGCATGTTTCTTTTTAATAGTGAAGCACCCATAGAGAAACATGGATCCAGTTGTCAAGTTTTTGTAGCATGACTTACTTACTATGCTTAAAATGTGCAGGACTGAATATAATCAGACTGAAATGGAACCTTGTCATGATAAGCAGGGAACTGCCAAAGACCTTTTACAGCTCAAAATAGTGTATGTACATAGTGCTGAAGGCTGAACCAAAAATATGTATCTGTTAAGTGCCACAGGGTCTTTGGGTCCAGTTATAGTGGTGAGTAGGACCAAGTGTGTTTTCTACATCATTTAACTTAAGATCTATGGTTATTATGAGCTTTAACCGATTTTGGTCACAGTTCACAATAGGACACAATTCATACTTCCTTTGTCAGGGTAAGGTCTTGTCTAGGCATCCAGGATACATTAAATGAATTGCTTTAGATATATGTAATCTTTTGATTTTGAAATTGGTTCATGGACGCATCCAAATCTAGTAGTACAAAAAATCTGCCTAGGTAGAAAAGCATTTATTTACCTGACTGATGTGTTGAAACTGCAAAAAGTCCTGGGAAGGTCTAAGAATGATCTTAAAACTATTTAAAAAGTACTTGAATTTCTACCTCTGGAAAAGCTGCAGAGCCTAGAAGCCCAAAATTGAAGGTACACTTTATTACCCCCCATAGGGAAATTGGTCCTCTGCATTTGGCCACTGGGGCATTCTCAGGAGCAGCTCTCAGGAGCCCATCTCTGTGATTACCTTAGGTAGAGGACTGTACCTATGGTGCGTGTTTTGTGTTGATGGGGAAAACGCATCCAGATATGAGGAGAACATCCAAACTCCACACAGAAGGGCCCAGGCGACTCCAGAATAGAACCCACAACCTTCTTGCTGTGAATCGTGAGTGCTAGCCACCGTGCCACCGCAATGCGGCTGAACCAAATGTAACCTGTCTCTTAATGCCTTTTTCAACATGGGGAGCCTGCCCTCCTGATCTCTGAGTGTCAGACATATTACTGCTGCACGTGTGGCTCGTTCATGTGTTTGCGTTAGGGTTGCGCAACATTTTGCAAAATGAATGTTCTTGTGATAGCAGTATGCCCATCTGATTAATGTACAACAATAACATTATCAATATAATAGTATAACAAATAACAGTGTAGTGAGAACAGTCAAAAAAGGAGATGGCTTTTTAGCAGTTCTGTTTACTAGTGTGTGTTTGTGTTAGCATTTGTAGTTCTAGGGTATCATGTCCAGCCCTTTGCTAAGATGTGTATGTGCTAGTATGTGTAGTCCCTTGCTAGTATGTGTAAGTAGGTAGAGGAGCAGCGAGGGGCCGTGGGATCAGACCCAATGGTGGAGCAAGCGTTTATTTTCTCCGGACCGTGACTGATAAAGTACAGCTGTCCAAACTGACACACACTGCACCAGATGCCTATTGTCATTCAACACCGAATTTAGAGCAGGTTTTGTACTACAGTGTATCTACACACTGATCACAGTAGCTTAGATTATCACTAGGATCATCTGTGTGTTTCTTCAAGAGTTTAATATGGACTGGAGATCTGAGCCGCGATTATTGCTACACTGACACTGAACCCTTGCATCTCATACTCCTTTGTCTATTGATAATACACCAAGGAGATGTGGAGATACATCTCCCTGGACATTTGGTACAGATCCTCTTTGGGCAACTTTTATCTTTATTGGTCATTACTAACAGTTTTAAAGGGCCTATATTATTTTCTGATATTAATTAATTAATTAATTAATTAACAGTATTGTTTCCTAATCACAAAAGTACCTAGAGCTGTGTTTAGTTTCATTCACACATTAACACATAAATCTTACATCTTTAGGCTGAGCTCTTCTCTCAAACTAAAAACTGTGGTATTACACGAAGTGCTCCAATCTGTTTTTAAATTCTGTACATATTCACTACAATCATTTGGGTGATTTCAGCTCTGGAGTTGCCAGGCTCTACTGAACTAAATGTTAACTTGAACACTACCACTTCATGACATCACAAGGTAGAACAGTGCATTTTGAGCTTTTGAGATGTAGACAGAGTAATAATAAAGGATTACTCAAACGTGTGAATGAAACAAAACACAACTGCAAGTTTGTTTTATAACATTGCTTAGCTCACAAGAGTCAATTTGGTGTAATATAGGACCTTTAATAACTTGAGTATATAATCTATGATCAAAACCAATTCTGAATGGTTGCAAAAACAGTTTATTAAAGTTCAGAATAACAGAAATTTTCAGTGTAATTTCTCAACAATTTTGTCCAGTTCATTCATGTTCTGTGCAAGGTGCAGAATCCCAATGTGTGTGTAGTTATAATGTAAAGTTATTGCATAGAAAGCCAATAAATCTTTAAAATTATTATTACAAGCACAAAGTGTAGACTGGAGATATAAGCAACTATTATTACTAAATCTCACCGTGAAGCATTGCACGGCACAGTTAGTTCTTTGTCTAATCCCTGATATCAGCTCAGGCTTTGCTGATGTCCAGTAAATGACCCAAAAACATCAGAAACATGACAAACTCACTCAGTGCCTGCGTGTAACCGAGAAACTGCAGGTGCATCATGGGTAAATCCCGCTCTGGTCTGGTTTGGGGGTTTTCCTCTGCTTCATGAGAGTCTTTTATTGAGACTGTGTCATCAAGTTTCACTCTGATGCAGAAATAAATCTTGGCCACTCTTATAGACTGTGTGCTCAAGGTGTGTGTATGTGTGTAGTTCATTTGACCTGTTCATTCACTCAAATTGGTTGTCCAGTAAAGAATATGTTTCAGTCTAATAAAATTATCTTATTGCTTTAATGAATAAACACGTTGTAATATCTAATCAAATCTCAATTTAAAACATTTTTAGCGAAGAGTCTGCTACTTGTTTGTCTCCATGGAAAATAAAATATTGAACAGTATAGATTAAACCTATTTATCACGCTACATTACAGTTCAGATCTATGGAGAGTCACCCCCATTCACACAAGGAATTACTGTATTTTTGAACAACAGAAACACCCGTAATGAATAAGTGCTAGATGGATATGGCTAATGTCAGAGCATGGAACAGTCCAGGGAAAGCTATAAGATAAGATGGAGACAAGCAGGTAGCAGAGCCTCCTCCAGAAAGTTGTGCAGTTCACCTTTATAGTCAGCCAAGATGGTCATATTTATTTGTTTAATTGTATATTTTTTGCAATTTATATATATAGCTTGCAAGAAAACAAGAACTGTGAGGACCAATCACCGTTGTCCCAGTTGTCTCCCACTATAATCTCTGTACAAATCCTATTGTATTGCTTTTTATATTATTAGTTAGTTGAGTCACTTTCATTGTATTTTTAACCGCACTGTTCAAAATGTTGGTTCTTTGTACATGAAGTGGGTTTAATTAAGATTTGTGGGGCATTTAGGAAGACTTGATTCGATTGGACGTCTCTTATTAGGCTAACAGAGTCTCATCTATTTTGATTAGTTTCTGTGTCATGTCCTCATTTTCTGTCTTGCTTTTCCAAAACCACACTGAGCCAAAGACACACGTGATGCCTCTCCTCAATTTCCTCCTTTAATTTAATTGCATCATTTATTATGATTTAAAACAACTGCCTATGAGAGTGTCTTGTCTCACTCTCTCAGGCGGATATCCCCTAATTTAGGAAAAAATCTGCAGACATTTCTCAAACTTCCAGTAAATCCTGATTTAATGTTGGAGTAAATAAGCTATTAGGGGTCTTTCGGGTTTCAACAACATAAACAGGAAAAACGTTTTGTTTAGTTGGACTAGTCTTAATGTAGGTCGATTTCTCATACCTACTACTGCAGAGTTTGTCTCTTTTGGCTACCATCACGTTTATATTGACCAGCGAATGTACTCCAGTATTTGTATTTCTTACTCATTTGTGTATTTTGTCTGTTTTATCCTCAGGCGGCTGGGAGGATGACCATTGGATCGGCAGCAGGTAAGATGCAGTAGTTTAAGTTTGTTTGAAAGCGTGCGTCATCAGAATCCCTTCACTTGGATTGTTTGCATTCCCTCTTTTGGGACAAAACTAGTCTTCTGGGAATATCTCCTTCTGGAGTCCGAGCCAAGTCCAAGTGTCAAACATCCGCCACCCACAAGGAATGATGCACTGCTTCTGTTTCAACACATTAAATACAAACCAGACTAGAGTAGACCAACTGTGTTAAAAGATTACTATAACTGTGTATTTTTATAACACATTTGGATCAATTTACATGTCTGGGAATTTTCATCACATTTGTGTTGTTCTTGATGCTTTGAATAGATATCTTTGCAATCTTTGGCGAGTGTCAAGACCAAAACCAAATTCAAACACTCCCTGAAAAGTATACTCTTTGAATCTATGCGGGACTATTAACCAGGTTAAATAAAGGAGAAAAAATAAATAACACAAAAAGCACGCGCAGTTTAAAGATCTTTGTAAACCTATGTTCATGGGTATTCCGGGGTCATTTACAGTCAGACACAAAATACTTGTGATTACATAGTTTACTATATAGCCACTTAAAAAAGCGCATGTTACCAAACCATTCTTGTATTTCTCCCTCTGAGTTTCTCTGTTTTTCTCCTGTGGGTATTTCTCAGACTCAGGTTCCCAATGGTTGAGATCTTGGACTCCACACACATGATTAATGAGTGCAGGTCTGACCCCGTCCCATATCTCCAGTCCTAAGACCGAGTCCTTTTGATTGACAACCACAGGCGTCCTGACGACTGTAGCCAGTCTATGTCAGCGATTGTTTATTTTGGTGTAGTTTGTATTCGTCTGTGTCTATACATTGTGGGTGTCTACGATGTGACACCAGCACAGGTCAGGATCGCGTTACTGTCAGCGATAGTCCATGGAGCAGAGTTGCATTGTGGGTAATGAGGCCCCGGGGTAGCAGGGAGGTCAAGGGTCGTGGCGTCAGCAGTTGGAGGTGCCGGAGAAAGTGTTTGTGTGCTGTAAGTGACTTTTCAGTACACTCTCAGAGCATTACAAACATGGCGGTGGTGAGAGAGGAGCGCAGATTAGACTCATTGTTTGACTTGTCTCGTGTCGACTTGTTTTCGGACTTGAGGGTGTTTATTTTTGACCCAGATACAAGGAAACACTTTGGACCTTTTGACTGAAATCCTGTCTAATCAATCAGTGTTGGGGCGGCCTGTGTGGTCCGGGTCTTAACTCAAAGAGACAGGATATGATATGGTCATATCTCTGCACATAGCTCACATGCACTCGCTGCGCCGCAGATAAAATGGGAATTCCTCACTGGGTTTCTCTTTACCAGAACAACGCATACTGATGGAAACTGTGGCCTCATAGTGGTGTGGCCATTTTGAACCGCTTATAAACAGAACATTTGGCACTTTTTAAGAAGTTCTACAGTAAACACGCATTATAATAAAATATCACACATGCTCACAAAAATACCCTTTAGTGCATAGTTTATTATTGTAATAATTTGTAAATGTAAAATACTTTTTAAATTTACTTTTTTTTCTCATATTGATTTATTACAGTTTTTCAAATTCAAGTAGATTACATTGTATTCTTCAAAAAAAAAAAAAAAACAGATAAACCAATTTAAATATACATTTTGATTAAAACTGATTGCACAGTCCTTTGACCTAGACTCTAAGAAAATATTGATATGGACTTTTTAATATTTCCCACCTCAGCCAAACATTCAACTACATTGGATTTTATAAACAATGAAATGCAAATTTGTTTATTCAAAGATGTGTTTTCAGACTGAACTCTATGAAAATTTGCTTTCACTATTCTTCAACGCCTCTGGAACAATCAGTCAGGAACAACAGGCAACTGTAGAGTGGAACTCTGTAAGATAGTTTATGCACCCCTTTCTTGGAATCAGATATTTTTTCAGTTTCAAATTTGGTCTTTCATAACATCTTAAATATAGCCACCTCTTGAAACCTCTATGAAATATCGTGATCCTTCTTACTGGAAAGCCTGATTATTGTACACATTACAATCCGAGATAAGACCTCATACTCCTCTGTTTCAAATTTGTACCTGTCTGTCTCTTTACCTTTGATCTCTGGCTGGACGTCAGTGATGTGTGAGAGGAGGTGCCTGCCATGACGGTATGTGGTTTAAATTAGATCAGCTTTGCAGCCTGTAAAATGTTTAATCCCGCAAACATGAAAGGATTTATTTTCAATACATTTTCCTCCGGGGAATTAATATCTGGAGTATTTTGTGTAGTATATGATTTAGCTGTTTTGGTTCAAAGCATTATTTACTTTTGGACCATCTCAGCTGTCTTGGCTTAGTCACACAGCACGTGCAGGAGAAATAGATTTTTTTCAGTATCTTGACCTACATTTAAACTTACAGAAAGAATGCAATATTTTCAACCATAGACTAAACCACCCTTTTGGACTTTTGGGTGTTAACCTGTTGCTCTTGTTTATAGATAATGAAATTTGTCTGTTTTTGTAATTGTGAACTTTGAATCCAAAACATGACCCTTATTCCAGATGTTTTGTGTTCTAAAATAGAAACTAGTCCCGTTCCCCATGTAAAAACTTGATTGCATTTAGTTCTGTCCAAATAATTTTTTAAGGTATAGAGATGATTCTCTGCCCAAACACAGAAGCATTATTTATTTTTAAATGTTGATAATGGGTCAAAGATTTCATGCATGAATGCAGGGTTAATTTAATGTTGGGGTGGACTGAAATTTCAGTTAAAGAGGGAGTATTGTGCAAAATCAATTTTTGGATCTTTCTACAATTGTGTAACATTGTTCCCTCATCAGAAACATGCCTGAATAGGTCATCCATGCATGTTTGAGCAATCTAGCAATCTCTGCACTGTTCTTCCCTTCTTTACAGTATGCAGCAGTAGTTCTGTCCAATGCTCAACAACACACAACAATTTTCCATAAATATACAATAGCATGATACAAAACAATACACCATAACTTCACAAACCTGATGCGATGTGCAGTAGTTTCATTAGCGAAATGCTTGCTGATTATGTTTTGATGGGGGAGTGAGCACGGGAAGCTAAAAGAGGGGGGATTCAGGGCACCAGAAAAGTGAAAATGAACTAAACAAATATATCTTATGTATTAGTATTTAATACTCTTTAAAAATTGCAAGTTTTTGGATGTTGGTGATAAGGTTCAAAGATTCAGCAAATGAGAGAACAGCTTTGTGCTTCCATTTTTATTCTTTCTCGAGTTCTAAGCTTTAGTACACTTTTACACCAGTTTTAGCCTATATAGCTTTTCCTCAAAACCCAAATGTTTTCTCAGAACTGTATATTTGAAAGCAGTGATGCTATTTGGAGCCATTGATAAGCTTCAGATGACCTTTTGCTGACCCGAACACACATGACGGAGTGACACACATTCCCGTCTTTTTCACCCCTATTGAGAATTATGGAAGTCTTCTAATCCTGGTGACTTTTCACATTATTACAAAGCTCTCGGGGGGGGCGCCCTGTGGGTAATCTCGACCTCCGGCCCATGAATCCCTTTAGTGCAGTCCCCTCCATGTTGGTAATATGTTTTTAATATGTCTGACTGCTGGGATTTGGCTGATGTGTGGCTCCAGCGCACTCCTGACCCACTCAAACCTGTGTTTTTCTCCAGGCAGGGAGCAGATTTAACCCAAATGTTTTCAGACACATAGAGAGGGAGAGTCAGAATACTTCATCACAATGCACACTGACCCTATAGTCTGATCATGTGGTAATGTGATATGTAATTCTCTCATTTTCTGTCAATATTCTCATTTTTCCCAATATGCCTATTTCTTAAATACATTTTAACAGTTCCATATAACGATTTGGAACAACTATAGATTAATACTGGCAACCATCTTATTATAGCAGACACTTTCATTTGTGTTGAGCATAGTCCATTACCGATGGATACATCTGACTAAATCTGTACGCAATCATTCATTTCATTATATTACATATTTGGCTGTGTAAAAACATAATTGCTTCAATCTCTGGAATGAAAAACACAATAGATGAAAGACCTGATGTGAGTAAGATTGACTGGTCAAATCAGGTTTCAATAGGAATCATATGGAATCGGCCCATACATAAGACAAGGCTCAAAAATACAGGCCAAAACCCTAACACATAGACAATGGTTTAATCATCTAGCCTGACTAAACCTATTGGTCAAGATCTGGAGTCAGGCCTTCGGGTGCTGCACTGCGGTCACCCACTGCTCCTCCTGACAGGTTGTCCCAGTGGCATTGAATGATGGATAATTTGGATCAGTTTCTCTACAATAGAACAGTAATGGATTCCTTAAACTGTTTATATTACACTGTTACACTGTTTTCTCATCACAAGAACGTATCTGGAGTGTTTTTTTTCATTCACACATGTTTAACTCACAGATCCTTCATATTTAGGAGTTCTTCCCTTGGAAAACACTCTATTTTGGTGTCATGTGAGGTGGCATGTGGTAATACAAGTGCTCCACTGTGTTTTAAACTCCAAATTTCCAGTCTCTATTGAACAAAAGGTAGGTAGGTGTTCCAAAAAAAAAAAACTGAAAACACACACACATTTTTTTGTAGCGGTGCAAATGCAAGGAGCAGCAAGACAAAAGCGAAAAAATGCATAGCATAACACACATTTTTAAATAACATTTCAGCAAAAAAAGCCTTCGTCAGATATTTTGCTTTGGACCACAGTAAAGGGTAGGTGTTAACATGAAAACTACTGCTTCATGACATTACAAGGTGGAACAGGGCATTTTGAGTTTTGGAGATGTAGACAGACTAATAATAAAATTGTTACTCAACATGTGTAAATGAAACAAAACACAACTCTGGGTATGTTTTTGATGAGGTTACAACATTCTAACGTGGCTAAAATCTCACAAGAGTCCAAGAGTCTTTTTCTTCATCAGAAATGCATAACTCACTTGTCTGTCATTAGGTCTGATATACTTCTCTCCTGCCTCTGTGTTTTACCTCACACAGTTCACCAGTCAGCTCCACAATTAACATGCAATGATCTTTTACGAGATAATGAAGGTGGCTGTGCTGTTAATGCATTTTAATGTGCCCACCCGCGTCACTACTGTACAGACTGAAGATACAGGAGGTCCCTCTTAAACCCACTGCCTGGTTCAATGTGGTCTACACTAGAAAAAATGCATGTCTGGATCTAGATGTAGATTTGGCTTTAGTCCACATGTCTCTTCATTCTTTGTCCATGTTTATATGCCCCTGTCTGTCTGCTGTCTCTTATAATAGAGATAATGGTTTTGATTGGCCTCCTTCTGTCTTATTATACCTGCAAGCTATGTGTCATTATGTATATGAGTACAATGAATAACTGCTTTGAACCTGTATGCCATTTAGAGAATGCAGCCTTGATGGACTCGTATTTTTAACTCTAATACTATACAAAAGAGCTATTTATGGTTGTATGTGAATAGATTAGCACTTAAAGTTTCCATGTTTACTTTGTTCCTAATAGTTTCTATATTTATCATTGTTTATTAACCCTAATGCCTTTTCCGTTCTGTTTATGAGTTTTTCTTCAAGTGTTCCCTGTATTCAGATCCCTCTAATGAGCCCTCGAGACCCACTTTTGTGAATTGGTGCTGGTTGTGTTTTCATGTCACATTTTTGTGTGTTCACGGTACACAGTTGTTTTTGTGTGTGGTCCTGCAATCCAACACAGCTCTACAGGGAGAGAGCTCGAGGAAGGAAGGAAGTCATGGTGGATTTTCCCTCTAAAAAATACTATTACTACATCTGTGTTTCAGCTAAAATATGTGACGTTTAGGACTGAGTTTTGCTATCGGCTGTCATCTACTCCCATGACCTGTGTAGTTTCCTCTGTGTCCATTAACCATTGTTGGTGCTGCCCCAGGTCCTGCTACTTCCATACCACACGCTGTAGCCTTCCACCCCCACCCCAGTCTCCAAATACCAGACACAGCACTGTCTAGGCCAGTCTTCAACATTTAACCTTCGGATAGCTACATTGTACTTTTTAAATACACTTAAAAATACACTTGCAACAGATTAGCCATTAGGAATTAAGGCTAAGGGGTCTAAAGCCTGGATAATGCATAACATAGGACTTATTAGTCAGATACTGTTCTTTCATTTTGTTCTCATGGGAGAAACTGTAGTTACTCAAGTAGGGATGGTCTCAAAAGGCAATAATGATAATCTTTGTTGTTGTTGTGGCAGATTAAGATGTTAATCCTTGGCAAGAACCACAAATTGAATTAAACACAAAAGTTTTAACAAATAATGCAGAAGCAGATGGTTGAATTTCTCTTTAGTCTTTAAAGCTACATTTGATGCACTGAGGACAAATGACACCCTGACGAGAGCATCTTTAGAAAAAAATCTCAATATTTTTTCAGTATTAAAAAAGTACCCATATTATCACAGATATATTGTCCATCCCTATCTAAATCATGATTCAAACCTCTCTTTGTATGCCATGTGGCTATAGTCCATTGTTATGGCTATTCTGTGTGTACGTGCAGCTTTAGGTTTAGAGCCAGGAGGTATAGACAATGTCAGGCATCCTCTGGTCACGGCTGCAAGAAGGAAGTTGTTGTTTGTTGCTTTTGGAGAGTGAGACAGAGGACACTTTTTGGATTAGCTCCTGACCCACTTTTCACTTTGGCCCATTTTGAGAGGGACCTGACCAGAGCAGCATTCCGCGATGGCTGCAGCAGAAATATTGACAGAGCCACATTGATACTGTTGACTCAAGCTCGGGTGCGTTGATAGATGTGACTTTGGCTTAAGGTTGGCCTGTCTCAGTCCTTCACAACCTTTTTATGAAGACACATAAGGATAAAATAATAAAACACATACTTTCTTCCACTGGTACTGCATTCAGTCCTGTCAGCTGATCTATATAAAATATCTGCACAGGAAAATATGAATTATGGCATCTATAAAAATGTTCCACCTCCACTAGAAGCTTAAATGACTTCACCAATATTCCAAATAACAATCTTGCTGTTTTTGTGCTATCTTTTCTCACGTCTTTAGTTGCAGCTGTGATTTGCTGACTCTTGAGTTTGTTAAAAGCCTTTTCGTTTGCAGGGAGCTCATGCCAGTCATGCTGTGGCTGCGCTGCATCAAGGCCAAGAGGGTCAAGTCAACAAGATCACGTCTCCAAATTAAACTGACATACAGTAAGTATTGAAGCTTTTAAAAACACACTATCCTATGTGGCAAGATGCTTTAATAAAAAGCATAGCTGGGGTTTTATAAATATTGTATTGCAATTCATTGTTGTTTTTTCACTCCTCCAAGATATTGTATCTAGTGCACCTAGATCAGATTGTAGATGACATTAAAATATACTAAAGTAACACAAGTCAATGCACAGAAAGATGCAGTGGAAGTGAAAGTGTAAATAGAAAAATATTTCATTCAGTATTGAGACTTAAGAGATTTAACCTTATCGTGACCAACACAGCCTTTATCTGATCTACTTTTCTACCAATATCACCTTATTATGAGATTATAATGATTTTAGTGAGTAAAATGTATATAATGATTTGTTTCTAAATCTATCTGGATTTCATAGACAAATCTGAAGAGAAGAAACCTTCATAGATTATGTGGCCACACAGTCATTTTTAATCTTTATCCTGCTTAAAAACCACTGCATGTGGCTTAAAATAAAAGAGCAGTGGTCCTGATATTGACCCTTGGGGCTAACCATAACTGCTAATGAAATTCATATAATCTTAACCACTTTTATTTATAGAAAAAAAATATTCCTAGAAATAATAAACTTCCTAGAAATATGACAAAATAACTTACAAAAGAATGGGTTGAAGTTATTTCATCTATCCTTTATTTTATATAGTTATTATTGTTTATTCTAACAGTGGGATAATGTCACAATAGTGGATGTAAGACACTTTTGTTCAGCTCCTCACCAGATGTGCAAATACTATTTTGATAAGCAGAGAAACATATGGATCCACTGAACATCAGAGTCAGATGATGAGGTGTGTGTGCTTTGGAGGACTATTCACACAGATAATAGTAATAATGGGCATAGGAATTTAGGACGAGGTCAATGCTGCCATCTGTTCACAAGTAGAAGATAGATCTATGAATCTATATCTGCTCATTTTCACAAGATAGTACATTATCTGAATAAATGTACAAAAAAAGTAACAGTAGTAAAATGTTAGAGATTAGATGTTTACTCAGTTGACTGCAATTGATCAGCATTTTACCTGCAGGATTTTGGCTGAAATTTTTAAATACGTGAGCGGAGCATTAACATTTAATGAAAGACTGAAATATGAACTGATGTAATAATACAAGATGTGTGCATTTCAGAAGATGGTTAGCACATTGTATACTGAATAAAATGTATTTCATTTTGTGCAGTGGAAATGATCTCATGTAAATAATTAGACTTTGTCATCTGTCAATCCAGTCACCAATCAAACTGCTATGTTGTAGCAGTAGTAATCATAGTTATTATAATGATGTGGATGGAGTAGTAGTACCTTTTTAGTAGTTTCTTTTTATATATCATATTTTGGTTAAGAAACGCAAACTACTAGGCAAGGCAATGCAAGTTTATTTGTATAGCACAATTCGTGCACAAAGTCATTCCAAGTGCTTTACAGAATAAGAAAGACATCACACATACGCACAAATCAGAACATAAATAATTAGCATAAAATTTGCATTTAGAGAGAGAGTTAGTAATACCACTACTACTTTCATATCAATAAATGGTCAGTACAGATAGGATAAACTCCCCTTCACCCACACTAATATCTGTACTAGACTTTAAATAAATGACCAAGTGTCAGTATGTTTGGGTTAGCTTGCAGCGCGTGTTGAAATCTTAAGTGTGCGATGCTTAGGATGATGTATAGTAGTGGCACTGGAGGAGGTGTGTGATGAGTGAGCCGAGCAGATTGGACTGAATGGCAGAGTGGTGCTTAAAATAGATGCCAGGGAGAGCATGGTGGAAGCACACATGTAAAATTTAAGGATGTTCTGCTGTACTAGATGCACTAGTCACTATCTTTGATCACATGGTCTGTTAAATCATTGATCGCACTATACTCACTCACCCAAACGTGATGAGGAGAGGCAAGTATTGACTTTTTGCTGCAAGACTCGGCTGTAAGAAGAGGCACTGGCTGTAATGGTCTAATAATAACATTACATGAGAGGTAAATTTGACATGAGATTTTATGGTTGATAACATTTGGTATCAAAGATCAACTATATGAGCAGTTTTAAAAGTTTGAAGAAAGTTGTTGATGGGGAAAAAATGGACAGATCACTACCATTACCACACCATTAAAATATTAAAACTTAAGATCACATTTAAATCATACTTCAATTCAGAAATAATAAATGTATAGATTTCCAGCCTCACTCACATCCATCTGCCCCAGAACAGCTTTGGCTTCAAATATAGCTTACAGCCAGGTGTGGACAGTGAATGAATAATTACTACAGTGTGGTGCTGTGAGAGGTTTGTCCTAGCATGTATATCTATATATACTGCATAATGTACAGCTTTATTAGTGTGGACCTGACAATACTGTACAGTCTGTACAATATGGGCGACAGTAGTTCAGTTAGTGCTGTCATGCGATTAAAAAAATTTATAGATTAATTAATTATGATCTGTAATTAATTAATCTATTTAATCTCATCTAAAAATTGCTGAGAAAAGCTTCAATTTGAGGTATTTTCATTTAAATTCATTATTATTACATTATTGTGGCAGATCAAAAGACTAATATAGAACAAAAAAAGTGACTTTATAAAGTCATTTATTGTTTAACAAATCTCTCCAAATTGTCTGTTGAGCCCAAGTCTCCATGAATAAGAAACTGTTTGCTGTAAAGTAGCAAAGACGAGGAAATCTGAACATAATAACTTTTGTCTACTTAAAGACAATAAAAAGTCCAGTCTTTCCTTAACCATATTAAAAATATTATTGATAGAGAAATGCTTTATATATGAGATCACTGGTTTTAGTCCTTGTTTTAGTCCTGGTTTAGACCTGCTTTAGTCCTACTTTAGTCTTAGTTTAGTCCTGGAATGGATTAATTCCTGGTTTTAGTCCTGGTGTTTAGTTCTGGTTTAGTCCTGGTTTAGACCTGGTTTTAGTTTTTTTCTGGTTTTAGTTCTGGTTTAGTCCTGGTTTAGACCTGGTTTTAGTTCTGGTTTAGTCCTCCTGGTTTAGTCCTGGTTTAGACCTGGTTTAGTCCTGGTTTAGACCTGGTTTTAGTTCTGGTTTTAGTTCTGGTTTTAGTTCTGGTTTAGTCCTGGTTTAGTCCTGGTTTAGTCCTGGTTTAGTCCTGGACTGGATTAGTCCTGGTTTTAGTCTTGGTGTTAGTTCTGGTTTAGAGGCGCACAGGAGGAAGCGCGGTTTACGCAGCGTACGCGAGAAAACACGATCCACACGCGGCTCACGGGAGCACGTCGGTGTCCGCGCAGTGTCTACGGAAGGAAACGTGGTCCGCGCTTTCTCAGGTTGATGACGATGATGAAGGTGTGTGTTTGTGTTTGTGTGTGTTTGTGTGTGTTTGTGTGCGTGTCCCCTCATGTGGCAGGTCACTATAGGACAGTAGTGCAGACATCATGAGCCTATGCAGGTTGTTTTCACCAGTGACATTTAAGTTGTAGGCGATATTATATTTGTTATTTTCTTTTATATTTTACGTCGGGAGAATAATTTCCAAGACACGAATGTGTTTTTACCTGTGCACTGCTGGTTCTGTTCTACTGGCTCTTCCGACCTCGTCCATTGTGCGACTGACGCCGCCAACGTTAACATGACGTTTACATCGCTCTTACTGCGCGCGTTTTGTGTGGGTTTCCGGCAATGAGTGGAATTACCGAAATAAAAAAATTTATAAATGTGTTTTTTGTGTGTGTGTGTTGTTGTCCCAGCAACGCATAAAAACAGATTTTATAATAAAGCAACTCGCATACAGAAACAGTAAAGTTAGAGATTAAAAATGAGATTAACGCGATTAAAAAAACATAACGCGCTAAATATGACTGTAATTAATTAATCGCAATTAACGCGATAATTTGACACCCCTAAGTTCAGTTGGTGTGTTTTTCCACTGACTGAATCGAATTCTACTCTTGACATAAACATCAGTGGTTGACCACTGGCTCACAGGTTGGCAGTACGATTCCAGCTTCCACAAATGAATTAACCCACCTTGCCTCTAGTGTCTGCGTACCTTTATGAATAGAACCTTAAAGGTGGAAAAGTGCTAAATAAAAATGTCACCATTTATCATTTACAGTCAGTTAGGTCTTTAAATACTATGATATAAGTGTATAGTTTATCTCATGTGTTCTCTATGGGATTGCTGAAGTTTAGTATTTTAGTCCACACCTGCAATGCAGCATAGCTCATGTAGGAACATAGTGTGCACACTTGTATCAGAGAAAGCCGGTGCTCTTATAGCAGTTTACACTCTGCTGTGCATTTTAATGCAGTTTTCTCACCTCACATGACCTGAAGTTGGGCAAAGAAAAGTCATTTTCCAACTCAGCCATCTGCATTTGTCTGACAACTGCAGAGGCTGAGGAGGTGAAGACTCTCCTGTGTATTTGTATAGGGACACTTCCTGAGTCCATTGCCCTGCTTTGATTGGCCAGTCAGATCCAAAGAATGTGTAAATTTGTGTTTTGATTGGCTACTGCTGTAAGACACTGCTTCCATGGGGTTTCTCTGCTCTCAGGCCAAAAGTGGACCTCAGTCTCTGACCCATTATGTCCAGAGCAGGAGTGAAATACTAAACTGATCCTGCATCAAAGCCACTGAGGTTGGTGGCTCACCTTCAAAAACACTGATATCTGACTCTCTCACCAGTCTCTGAACCTTGATACACATTTTTACACAGCTAGACAATAACAGGCTTACGGAAAGATTCATTTCTCATATTAAACTATTATACATTATTTACTGAAAAATGTATATGGATTTATGATTTTGTTAACCACTTTACTTTATATTAGTATTCCTTAAACCTTTCTGAAGTTGAAGATAGTGTTGTCTATAGACATGTATAAAATACAGCCCAAGAGTGAAATTATTTTGAATTTGGGAGCATATAAACTTTTAAGTAAAGAGAATGTGTATGTGGCTATTCATCACACTCTGTAGACTGAGTCACTTCATGTGGACCTGGTATTTTATGGAGCACAAAAATCCCATGAGGTAAATCCTTCAATAGTAGATAAAACAACATTGTTTAAAGTTAAGATATAGGTTAAGGTAAGGGTTTGGGTTAGGGTTAGACAAATAGTAATTATAATTAGGGTTACAATCAGTCTCCAGGAAATGAATGCAAGTCAATGTAATGTCCACACAAAACATGGAAACTCATCTTGTCTGTCTTCATTATTAGGCCCTCTCATTCATGCACTTTCTAACCAATACTGGATCTTGCACAGTGAGGGAAAGTGGTTACGGTAGTTGTCTCTGTACATTGACGTGATAATGTGTTAAACCCACTAATCCTAAAGTCTACACATGAGAGACTCACAGGGTCACAAGGGCCTGTGACTCAAGTGTGAAAATCTATACCTTTTACTCACGTGCACATTTTGACCTACCCATATTTTACCTGCATGTTCCCTTACTCTCTCTGAAAGTTATCATTCTGTGAGTGTATTACATATTTATATATTGACCACAATTAGTACAAAAAAAATTACAGATCGCCTATGGCCAACCAACCGTTTTATTTACATAGATTTGATGAATATGTTAGGAAAAATGATTACATCTAAGACTTGTACCTGCACAAATCTCCCTATCTAATCCCCAGAGACACTGCCTAAATCCAAACCAAATGTTCACTGTCCAACAGTTTTTTCCTCCTCTCAAGCTGCATTGCATTAAAAACATGATTATAGGTTTGATGCTGCTTCGTCTATATTTCATAATTATTACTTTGCTGTTGTTGTTTTTGTTTCTAGTTTTTTTTTTATGATTTTTTTTCTAATTTCCCACAAAAAGAAACTATATTATCAGCGACTTGAAAAATTTGTAAAATTAATCCCTTATTGTATTGTGCTGTGTTACTTGGTCTTAGAATGTACAAATAAAATGCTTGGATCTGAGTATTTAGAGGCACAGTTTAAACTAAAATAACAAATTTCATTACAACTCTTATAAAGCTTTTGATGTTCCCTGTCTCTTCCTATCTTCATTTGGGTGTTCTATGCATTGGTGGTCCTGTCATCTTATTATTGATAATGCGTTTAAATGAATGTGGGGCTGACCTCAGTACAGCACATTTTATATAGAACAAACAGATTAGATAATCTTTTTCTTGTTATAACAGACTAAACAAATAGAAAAAGGTACATAGGCAATTCTAGATTGATTTCAGGTCATATTATTAAAAGTGCACTATCCAATTTTTCACTTGACTAGTCTGTCACCTGCTTGTCTCCATGGAGAAGTTATTGTTTTGCCTGGAATATTCCACAGTATAGCATTAATTGCATATGACTTTCATTTATCTGATGAAATTACAGGTGGGTTTATTGCTCAAAAATACTTTTATAAACACACATTCTTACTGTGAGTGACTTGGCTTGATTATGTCACTGGCAGTCTCCATCTTGATAGATTAATTCAATGCCATACTGTGGAACATTCTAAGTGAAGTAAAAATGTCTCTTGTTTCTGTAGTTTCTTTTCTTATGATTATTTTTTAATTGATCTAGTGAAAGGAGGCCTATGGAAAATGTTGACTTAATTTTCTGTCAAGTGAGTTTGTCTGACCAAGTCAACAGAGGAGTCATGTTTCAACAAAACCCCACATTTTTGCTCTGGTGCAGTTTTTGCTGTTATCTCCGTCTAAATTACAACGGTCAAGCAGTGCGGTCAAGTGGTGTCTGCATTACACGGTCTTCTGCTGACCACTGGGATAGCAGACATGTTTAAACTGGCCTAAATGGGGAGGGGGCACTCTCGCTCACTTGTTTCTCTCCTCTCTTTACAATCACGAGTTTTCTCTGACCTGGAACTCAACACCTCAAATAAGACTTCCGAACTAAGAGCCTCATGGAAAGCAGCTGAGGAGCATCCTAAAAGTGTCCCCGTTGTCAGTCTGAGGGACATTCCTGAGATATCACAGGAGTAACTCTGAACCTGGAGCTGTCAATGAGGTGGACAAAGCTGTAGTGTACACAGGACTTTCACTGATACTCAACTAATACTTCTATGTGCTTATGCAGATCCTATCAATCCAAATGTATTCATAACATTCACACTATGCATTGTGGTGACCACTCAGTGTGTAAACAGTCCACATGACATGTCCGTAACTCCAATCCCTCGTGGCACTACATGTTAGCACTTAAAAAAAAGACATTTGGACACGTTGGCCTGGCACTATGAAGGGGAAATGTAACTATATAACAATGAAATAATAGAGATGTTTTACTAGTATCAAATTGTGATCTTTGTAACTAATTAGCTACAGTATATGTACAGTGTTTAGTTCCTTGTCGAAATTGTCAGCAAACAAACTGAGCTCAACTGTAAGTAAGAACATTTATGCCAGCCTGATAACTCTGTTTATTCATAAAGGTAAAGTTATACCTTAGATTGATTAATTAAAAGTTAGATTCCCTCATAGAATATTGTTGTTCATTTAGATTCTCATTACCTCCTCACATAACTGTGTCTCAGAATGTCATGTGGTTTGATGACAAGAAAAACTGCCAATACAATACAACAATATCAAATGCACAATAGTGGATTTAGAGCTACTATTGCAAATTTTGCTAAAACCACAAGTAAAGACAAAACTTCAGTTCAGTAAAACCTACACTAAAGCATGCAGACTAAGCTATAGACTTCTGCATGACTATGGACTGCATGGATCACAATGGGACCCCACAGCCCTGATATGTTAAGCCCATGACTAATGTAAGACATGTTTGTGAGTGGCCAGCGACACACAGCACAAGTATCCCCTCTACACAGGACTATGCTGTGTGGCAGCCCGTGTGTTATTGGCGTGTATGAGCGCATTGAAAGAGATCCTTGTTTGGGTCGGGGCTGAGGGTGGGCTTGAGTTGTAGTTACATCTAGGTTTGGGAGAGAGAGAGAGAGAGACGTTGAGAAACCGCCTCTTGCATCTGGCTCTCCTCGTCAGTGCGTCAGTCCCGCATGGAGAAGTTATTGGAGACGTTTACGCGCCCACAACAGCGCGTCGGAAAAGGACATCACAGACACGCTGTACGGTGAATTGGTTTTCGCCGGTCATACATCCAAGTCAGATTGATCTTTTCGTGCACGCCTCCGCAGGAAGGTGACGCAGGTACGACGCGGTGACGACCATTGCGGCAGCGGTGGCGGCGGGACGAAGTGAAAGCAAAATCTGACCGGAATAACGGGACGCACGAGCGCGGAGGATTTTACCGGTGTCAGTGACAGAAGAGCGAAGAGCTGATTTGGGAACCTACGAGGGAATATGTGTTGGAGTGTACAGCAATGAGCAGCCAGCGAAAGTCGGCGAAGCTACAGCTGCGGCGGTCGATCAGTGAGCAACTGCGGGACTCCACGTCCAAAGCCTGGGACCTGCTGTGGAGGAATGTCCGGGAGAGGCGTTTGGCAGGTCGGTCAGAGTCACAGCGGGGGTAGCAAGATTTAAACCTCATATGTACAATATACACATTTCTACTGTTTGTCATTTATTGCTGTGGTCCTTGTATATTTCTAAGTCTAGCTCTATGGTGGCGGACAGTTGGGTTTGTCCTGGAATGACTTTGATAAGGGCTGCATTGGTACTATTAATATAGGCTATTAATTTTATTTTCTAAATTTGTCTGAGACTGTTTGCTATAGCCATGTAAAGCTAATATGTATGTTGGTTAGGTTTAGTCTAAGAGTGCATTCACACTTGTTAATGGTTTGTGCTAAACTAAGCCTACACTTGATTTGGTCCTTTTCTATTTCTTGCTTAGTGCTAGTCTAGGTTAGATTTATTTGATTTGATCTGGTAAATGTGTGAATGCATCTTATTCTTAATGTTTAATCATGGTCATTACTCTCCTTGTGTAGGTTTATCTACAGCACTTTGCATTGCATTAGCCCATTCATTAATTCCTCTGTCACACTAGATGATATGCTAAGTAGCCACAGCTGCCCTGAGACCAGGCAAGTGTACCAACAGCTACTCTGACCACCACCGATCACATAATCACATGGGTGCAGTGTATGCCCAATGGCACAACAACTGTAAGAATTGGTTATAGTAGTATTCAAACCACTAACGTTCCAGTCAGAGGCCATTAGCTTAACCATCTGAGCTTCATCTGGCCCATGTTTAACCCAGCTTTGTTAAAGATTACAAATTATGAATAGTTTTAAGGAGGTAATCATCTCTTTATTTCTGTTGGTTTGGTGTTAATTCAGTCTTGATGCACTATTTCTGATTGTTGATCTTGTGTTTAAGCCTGGTTTACTTTTAGGTTTACTGCTGGGATTGGATTGTGCTTGTAAATTCCAACATTTAGTCTTGGTTTTGTTCTGGTTAACTCCTAAATTTAGCCCAGCGGGAACTGATCTTTAGTCAGCTGCGGTATGGCAACTGGTTTAGTCCTGGTAGGTTAGGTATTCACTCCATTGTTTAGTTAGTTGGTTATAGCTGTTTGAGATATTGTTTTATGCATAATTATATTTCTATAAAGCCATTTTTGAGCCTTGTCATTATATGTGCGTTATTGTCACTGCTGACCCTTTTTAAAGCAGATTTATGGTATACACTACAGTGAGACTAGTTCATAGATTGGTGTTTATATTGTGATCTCACTGCGTCTGCGTTGCGCTGGTGTGGAGTCATGCGCAGCTTGCTTCTGATATTTTGGGAAGGTCATTGTCAGATTTAGTCTTAAAAAGCAGCAGTGGCATGTGCGGAGGATACCAGCTCGAAAGGCGCTCTGATTGTCCCCATAATAAACCGTGCTTTTGACAGAAGACTGGATATCACATGTCTTCTGTGCATGCTGTGTCCACCAGACACCACTGCACTAAAGAGAGAGGCTCTGGCTAAATTTACTGTGGCCTGGTGGTGGTGCTCACTGTGTCTGGGCAGAGTCACTGAGGAGGAGATGAGAGATAGGGCTGCAGCTGCCTGTTTACTTTAATGTAATTACAAGAAATCCGCTTCATAGGCCAAATACACTAGAGATTTTTGTGTTCACGACGTCTAAGACAGATTAAAATTTGTTAGTATTTCAAATAGTATAAATGATCTTTGTAGTAGATTTTTACAACCTTTAATTCTTTTTATTGGATGATTTTTATCTCAATACCATTAAAACAAGAAAGTATAATAGTAGAACTAGTATAATTTTTATGTTTTTATGTTTTAGGATGTTAGAGATTGCCCTGTTCGATGCAGTTTTAGGATCACAAATAATAATCATTCATTTACATTTAACAGCATTCATACTGCCGGACAGTGTATTCATTGGCATTATAAATCTTATGTTTTTGTCCAGGCATGCCCAAACTATGGCCTGGGGGCCAAATGCGGCCCTCAGACAAACTTTTCTTGGCGCTCAGGCTTCCAGGTGAATTGGCCCAAATTACCTTGAAAATTTACCTTGATAAAGCAAATACTTAATATTTAATGAGTGGTTTTAAGGATCCTTGTGTGAATAAAGACTGACGGCTCATTCTAACGTGTTAAACATGCACATATTTCAATTATTCACTGTATTGAGCACCAGTCTATGGCCCTCGATTGGCCCTCTGCTTCATCTGTGTTTACATATGATGAAAAAAGTTTGGACACCCCTGTCAGATATTGGAATGTTTTGAACTCGCCAGCAGTTTAAGGTGTTGCATGTATGTGGTTGTTACATCATGCCGTCGTGAGATCGTCTCTTAGCCATTTGCCGAATGTCTCAAACTCTCTCTCCCCATTTTCACTCTTCAGCTGTCCTGTCCTGTTTTTATTTATATATTTTAATTGCAAAGTGACCATGACCTAAAAATATCACCACCCTTTTGTCCCAGTGACCATGAGATGAGGTGTATGTGTGGAGCATCATTAGTGAATGACGGTGAAGTGAGCAGCACCTGCCCCTCTGTAATCCTCTTTCTCTCATTGCTTGCCTCTTTATCCCATCCTGTCCAAAGCCCCTCCCCCTATGGCCACTGCTGAAGCCATCAGTCCACATCTGCCTGGATCACATTTGGAGAGAGGGGGATCCCAAAATCTGCACATCTGGCCTTGCTCTTATTCTGCACTGCACTTTCACCTAATGCATTAGACAGGCCTGACATTGGCACTACATAAAGACTGAGGGGTTATAAACAACTAGAGGCAAAAACAGTGGAAACGTGATAATTGGTCTTGTTATTATCAAATATTATCAGGGTCAAGTAAAATAAAATGAATATAAATAGTAAAAATACCTCTAAAATATGGCTACTTTAGAGGTCCTACATACCAGACGTCAAATGACTGACCTTGTTTCTAAATTACATACTCTTTGCCAACTACTACACTATTACTATTAGTATTATTCTTGGTGGATGACCTAATTTAAATATAATATGGCTTTACCTACAGATTGTTGAACAGTGTCCCATTTCCTAAAACAATATTAAAAAAGAACTATATAGAACCCAAACTTGCATTATAAATAATCTTACAAACAGAGCAGAGTATAGTTTTCATTGAGCCATGGTGTGCAGTGGCTGGTGTGTGTTGCCTGACAATTGGCTGCATAAAGCACCTGGATTTGACTATAATCCTTCAGATTTTTGAGTTAAACGTGAGGTCACAGCAGCCTGAGTTTAGCTCAGAGTATTTCATTGTGTGTGTATGTGTGTTTTGATTGTTAGGCTTACAATAATGGAGCAGGATTCTCTGAAAGTATAAAATTAAATGGTTGAAATTATTTAATTTTGATGAAGAAGTAAATACCACAGAGCAGGACAGCTTTTCTGTACTCACACTAATGAATGTTTGATATATAATGTAATTCCATGCATTGTTGAGATAATGATGATGATTTTAGTGAGTATATATAAACATATATAAACATCTACACTCACTGTATATACACTGTATTTGTTAATGCAATTTGACGTGCTAGAATTACAAATGCATACTTTCATTTCAGACTTAAATCAATTTGACAGTGAGTTAATCACATTTGCTCTCTTTTCTATATGAACCTGATCTCTATATACCCTTACTAACCTGCTACAGTCTTCAACTTTTAACTGTAGCTTGAATCATTTTCTGTTATAGCTGATGTACCTCACTACAACCTCACTCTCCTAAGTCTGTACTGTACTGTACTAGGTTTGTTTTTTTTGGTTAATAGATACAAATTACGTTTATTCAGATAATCAGAGTATTTATTTTCTGTGTAACCAAACTCTGCAATCTAATAATGGCCAAAGAATACATTTTTATCTAATTAATAAGTTAATAAAATAATATTGCTGTCCTATTGTGGCCATTTCCTTAGTTGCCTCTAGAGGGTAGTATTATCAAGTCCAATCTTAACTTTACTAATACTATCTCACAACTTTAGGATATCTTGCAGTTAGTCTCAGTTAATACATATATGTGGTGCCTGTTGCTGTGGGCAGCACACCTCTCGTGTGACTGTAAAGCTCCTCTCCTCTGTGTGTGAGCCTGCTGACCCAAAACTGACTCTACTATGACCCACTTCTCACGTGCACCCCCCATCCTCCTCCTCCTCTTACTACCTCCCCAAAATGAATTAAAATGACCTCCTATATCCTGCAGTCTTGCTAAATCACAGCTCTGTCAAACTAGGCCAAAGTCTGACCTCTCCTCCTCCACCTCCCTCCTCTCACTGCATTCCTTACATTTATCCACTTACTGTATGGCAAATTTCACTCACGTTTACGTTCATTTCAGGATGTGTCCAGCAAATTGAATGCAATACAAAGTACTTCACATATAATACATATTGTTTTGTTGTTCAAGGAGTATTTCAATTCATTATTAGAGTAAATTGAGTAAAACAAAATTACTCAAGACTCCAAGTTTTTGAGTTTTCTTTAAACAAATATAGGCCAACTATGTAGTACCACCATAGTCCCTTTCAAGCCTAGCAATTTAAAATCTTTTCTTACTGTTAAAGAAATGGTATAATGCTATATTCTTTATACTTTTAAATGTTGAGGACTGATTATTCAAATAACTTAATTTTGCTGTGACTTTGGCTAACTTGATTGATCACTGTTATAAATGCAGTAAGACTTAATCCAGTGGCTATCTGATTTCTGTGCAAAGCTTACTATTTACTAATTGATTTCTAATACATTTTCAATGCAGCAGGCCTAGTACATATTTTAAGTTGTCACAGCGGTGGTCGTTCAAACAATAAATTACACTATAAACAATCAAACATAAATCCATCCAATCCAAATCTTGTAATCGCCTTTCAAATCTATTATCTAATGACATTTCAATATTTTTTCTGTTCTGAAAGTAATATTGACATAGAAATTGGAAAATATTGTTTTAGGATCTAGTTTTAGGGCTTTCACACATTTGCCCAGCCCTATAATAAAATATTTCCTTATAAAGTAGTCGCCACAATAAATGACCATTTCTCA